GTTGCAGTGTGTTTAGTTTCAAAATCCCATTAATATCTTGTGGTATAACACCCCTTTAAATAAAGTTGAAATAACGAATAATCTTATTTCACATACTACTTGCAAAAAATCCTTATTTTCAATCCTTAAGCAATACAAAAAATATAAAAATGCGGAAGGATGGAAAGCAGAGTTCAGGGGAAAAACTGCAACAGTTTTGTGAATATTTGGAATAAACATATTTTTTTCGCATTTCCTCAATTTTTAGGTTTCTTAATTGCAGAAACGAAAAATTACTTTAAGAATATTATAGAAATTTTGGTTGAAAACTTTGGAACTGTTTTTACGAAAATGTCATTTAAACGTTTGCTGTAACTTTGAAGCTCCTTTTTAAAGAAATCTTTTGAGTTTTCGAAAAACTTTATTGGAAGTCATTTAAAGAGCTTCCACTCACAAATGAAGTAGTGTATACAAATTGCTGGAAATGTGCATATTAATAGGTATATTCTTACAAGATATTTAAAGGGGGGGGGGGAATTGGAACGTTTTTGAGAAAATTTTGAAATTTACCCTGGGACTTCTTGTAAAAACACCCAAAACTTAATTAACGTTATTCAAAATCGCAGCGCGTCCACTCAGGCCAGATCGGCTGGGGTTTCTTCAATTTGAGAAAAATCTACGCATGGTTTAGGCGCTAGTGTTGTTCACGTACACCGGACGGAAAACGGATGTTTTTCCATCAATCAATTTTTTGCTATTAAGGACCCACAAAGCATGGAATCTCGCTACACCACGGGTTAGATGAAGTTTTCTTAATTAAGCAACTGGATTTATCTACTTTTTCGTTATCAGGGCCTGGCAATACGTTTTTCTGCCTTTTTTTTATTTGCAACATTACGTAATTTTCTGTCTACTGCATAAGTGGTAGCGAGAAAGTAATGGTAATAATTTGTTATTATATTCATTGAAATCAAAGCTGCAAAACGACAACGGATTAGGGTATTAATTATTGGGCGGGATTTTCACAATTCACCCCGCCTTCAAACTACACACACCTCCTAGGACAAGCTGTTAGCATTTATTCATCGCTGACTCTAGCCGATATATTTGCAGCATTCACAAATTTGGACGATTCTCACTTTTGTAAAAACTTCACTTCACTCGCCTAAAGGAGGACAAGTTTGGAACTTGATTTTTCCGAATCATGTAACATTTTTTAAAATTTGTTTCTCGGGATGGAGCCAATTTTCAAATTCTGAAGAATGCTAGTTGTAACAAAGTAAACGTACACTTCTTTTTCGGGCACTACAGGTTTTTACAATAAGATGGAAATAACAATAGTATTGACTTCACAGAACAACACATGTGTTTTTCCGATACTTCTGTTTACACAAGTGTACACGGTATGTCTCCAAAGTATTTTTTAAACAAATTTATTTATTAGACAGGCACAGCAACCTAAAATTCTTCAAAGTATGTCTTTTGTGAATACATTGTTACAAATGTACAGTGAGTACATTGTACCTGTACATTTTTGCCAGTACGATTTCTATACCTCGTAGGCTCCCATGAAGTCATCGGCGGAGAAGTCCTTTAGAGCTCTCGTACGTGCTTCGATGCTGTCTAAAGCCTTGAAATGCGTTTTCTTCGACCCTTTTCAACAGAGGGAACGAAAATAAGTCCGCCGGACTAAAGTCGGGGCTCTAGAGCCGTTGTGGAAGCGTTGCCTCACCGAAGGCCCTCTGTATACCTGAATATAGAGAGGGACTTGCCCCACCAATGCGGATCAAGTATATTGCGATTTATCCAACTCTGTCCCTGGCAGGAATCGGCTGTTGACGGTTTCATCCAATCGGGAACTTGAACGTCACCATGGTGATGTCACTATTGTGACGTACAAAATCTCGATTTGATGAAACTGTCAACAGCTGATACCTGCCAAGGTCAGAGTTGAATAAATCGCTGTGTATTCCGCGACAACGAAGGCGATGTGGGCTGGTGCGTTGTCGTGGCGAAGCTTCCTCAAAGCGCTTATCTCCTTTCGGACGCGAGTGACCCTGTTGTTGACGCCTTGTTTGTAGAACTAGGCGTTTACGAGGTCTCCAGGAGGTTCGAACTCACTGTGCACTATCCCCTTTGTGGCAAAAAGGCAATGAGCAAGGCTTTCATGCGCGATGTGCCCATGCGGACCTTGTTGGGTCTCGAACACGCTGAGGTGCGCCAATCCGCACTCTGCCCCTTAGTTTCCGGGTCGAACTCGAAGATCCACGACACATCCCCGGTGATAACAGTGTCCAAACAATTAGAATGAAATCTCGAAATCGCCCAGTGTTTTCAGCTTCATGCAAATTTGATCTCGTATCTTTTTTCCAAAGATTTCTTCATCGTAAATACGACGCGACTACTATACAGGAGCTCATGAACAGACACGATCTTAACTCCTCATGGCACGAAGATAACTGGGATTGGAACCGTTGGGAAGAAAAACCTCCCCTTACCCTATCCAAACCAGTCTGGTCGCTCTCCAACTTAAAATCGCGACAGAAAAAATCGACGTACTACTTTTGGGACAAACCTTGTAAGGTAACGACGGGTAACATTGCCAGGGGTGAAACATTGCCACAACTTCGAAAAATTTAAGTTGCGCGGTCTGTCTCGTAAATTTATTTGCTGACCGTGTTCTCATAGTTAGCTACCTCTCTTAGAAACATTATATACAATCGTTTAATGCATTGGGTTACAGTTGTAACCTGAAATGTCCGTAAATACGTATGACGTATTGTGACGCAGCGAAATCTCGTAATCGAAATTTCGTTAATTTTTGTTAATTGAGTTGAAATAAACGACATATATAAGGAAATATGTCATATCCTAGGCACGCTATGTCTTGATTATTCATTATTTTTCATTACAAAGAGGACAAAATATATAAATGGCCTATACTACTTTCAGAGTAACATTGCCATACTGGCTATCTTACCCCTACATTTATATCCTTTGAGAAGAAATGCTTACATTAAAACATTTGACATTTGTGAGTTTATATATCATTTCTACAGAATATCACATTAATTGTAAACATAGATTAATTATATTTTATGCAAAAATACTTTTTGATGTCGCCGTACTTGCACTGCAACTTTGAGAAGCTTAACGTTCATTTACTTTGTCTTGTTTTTAGAGACTGCCACATACACAAATAAAAATTCAGTATTTAAGGTTTACAATTCCAATGATGAAGTTAAAATCCCCCAAGCAATGTAAAATGTAAATAGAGGAAAATGAAGTAGGAAAAAGCTACTGAATTGTGTGGAATTAGCAGGTTCACTGTAAATGACATGGATGAATGTATTATGCCAAAATACAATATTGTTGCGGAGCTTCCTGGACTAAATATAAAAAAGAGAAAGCACTTTTCTTTTGTTGCATTTTATCCCAATGTTAATCCCTGTTACCTTCTTGAGAAAGAAGGCTGTGCTGTTTCAGGGAGACCCTAGCAAAATAAGTAGTCTACCGTGTATATAAATAAACTAAATTGTAGTATTTCGTCAGAACCTTTTCATTTGCGCATGTGTGCTTCTATGATCCATAACATAAGTTTTACATTTGTTTTATGTTTGGAAATCATGTCATTGACGGCCCTTGATGTGAGCAGCCAGTCAGGTGGGTGGGAGGCGTATGGGTCAACAAACTATTTTTTGAAAGGTTGTTTCTTGGTGTCCTATTTTGAAATTTGGTAGATAGATACAGCATTTGTGTATGAATACATGTGTACTTCATTAAATTAATTTAAGTTTGGGCCTACTGCAAAAATTTGTGTTTTAAAAATTAAAATCAATTTTAAAACCTTCAAAGTATGTTTACAAAAATATATTTACAGCATATGAAAGTACATCTTACTAGGTTTAATCTGAGTTAAGTTGTATTTTCCTGTAGGTAAAAGTATATTCATGAAAAAATTGTCAAACATTGCCACATGCAAGATTCTTTCAAAATAATAATAATAATAATAATAATAATAATAATAATAATAATAATAATAATAATAAGTAATATTTCTGAAAGGATTAGAGAGAAAAG